AAAACTGTGTCATTCCCTTATAATTTTGGGGGTGGGTAATATTATTATTATTATATATATATTTTTATTGTGATTTGGGTGAAAATTTACAGAGCAAATTCACTTTCCATACAGTAGTTCACATACACTGTCTCATGACATTGATCACAATTTACCACAATGCAACAGCAACCCTCACACTTCCTCCTGACAAGTCACCTCTTCCCTGTGTTCAACCCTCCATGCACCCCTGCCCCTTGAGCTGTCTCCCTGTGCATAAACAGCCCTTCTTTCTCCCATGATTGTTCTCTCCAAGGGGTGTATTTACCTCAGGTAAATATTCAACTCCTACACCTGTCTTTTGCTTGGCTGGAAACCACAGGTGTGGGTTCAATTTCAGACTTAAAGGGCAGCTAGAGGCCATAGTCTCAGTGGTTCCACCAGGCTCTATCGGACCAGCAAACCTGGTCCTTGGGGTGGGTAATATTACTGTGAGCAGCAGTGAAAACCAGCAGCGCTGGCCTTTGGGGTGAAGAGGAAGGAGTAGGTTCTGCTGCTAAGCTAGAGAGGAGTAGAGTCTCAAAAACAAAAACCGATAAAATAGAAAATAAGAAAAAGGAACACAAAGTCAAGCAAATGAGTCTAGCTAAAGCTCACTGGTCCATGGGGCTCTCACTGGTCAAGGGCTATTACTGTTCTACAGGCATCTAACATTTCTCCAGCAGCATAGTGCACACATCATCTGACTTTCTCTGTTCAGCACAAAGGTGTCTGTTTCTAGAATCCAAATGTGGTTTCTTATCTCTTCTTTGCTGCCCAGTTTGCTTCTCCAAGGCCCATCTCAATACTGGTCATCAGACCTCCATGCACTGGGCATGGTGGCTAGCAGAACCAGCTGCTTTAAAGGTTGAAGGGAGAGATGATTTGGACAGGAGCAAATATGCAGTAGTAACATGCAAGCATTTCTCTCTAGAACTCATTCTTATAAAATAATACACATCTCTCCAAAGACTGCTTCTGTTATACATCTGGCTTTCCCCTTATTTTCACAGGAATATTTCTATTTTGTCCAATACATTTTTTTAATCAATCACAATAAAAATACTTCTGTTGTCGTTGAGTAGATTTCGATTCATGGTGGCCCCATGTGTTACAGAATAGAACTGGTCCATAGGGTTAAATTTTTGTTTTTTTTCTGGTATTTTTGGTGGAAATTACACAGCAAAACATGCTCCCATTCAACAATTTCTACACATAATGTTCAGCGACATTGGTTACATTCTTCACATCTTGTCACCATTCCCATTATTTCCGTTCTAGTTGTTTCTCTCCCATAAACTCAGTCTTACTGTACCTCAAACTTCTCATCTGTGCTTTTTCCATACAGTTTTCTTAGTTGTAATCCTAATGGAAGCAGATGCCTTTTCTTCTGCCATACTGCTGGGCGGTTTTGAACCACCAATCTTTAGGTTAGCACCGAGCACAAACTGCTTCTGTCACCTAAGGGCTTCATTTACTTCTAGTATTTAAAAAATTAAATAAAAAAAGGTGGAAATAACCCAAGTGTCCATCAACAGATGACCAGATAAACAAAATGTGGTTAATATACATACATTGAATAATATTCAGTCATAAAGAGAAATGAAATTCTGATACATGCCAAGACATTAATGAGCCTTGAAAACATTATGGTGAGTGAAATAAGCCAGACACAAAACGACCAATAGTGTATGATCTCACTTACACGAAATATCTAGAACAGGCAAACACATAGAGACCAAAGTTTATTAGAGGTTACCAGGGGCATGTAGGAAGGGAAAAGGGGAGTTATTGCTTAAACAGGGACTGAGTTTCTATTAAGGGTGATGAAAAAATCTTAAAATAGATAGTGGTGATGGTCGCATAACAAGGTAAACGTGACTGAATTGTACATGTAAAAGTGGTCAAAATAGCATATCTTTTGTTACATATATTTACCACAATAAAAAACAAAATGAAATCAAGAAAAGGCAAGAACATAATATTAGGAGTGTTCTCTTTATTTCTCTTTGGTTTCTCAACACAAAAGACATGCATTCTATAAATAAAAGGAGATAAGATTTTCTGGGAAACAATAAATTGGGGAGGAGGGCAGAATTCCTACCTAGTCACATCTCTGTGGTCAAGTCATAAAGTTGGTCTTCAGCTCTCATCCTGGCTGTGCTCTTAGGCGAAACCCAGATGGTTCCGTGTTATCCAAAATGGGAGAAACGCCCAACAGCAGTGGACATCACAGTCCTCTGCCTGGAGATGGGCTAGACCCCAGGGCCTGCTGAGCACAATGTCTGTCCTACATTTCAGTTATGGTCTTTATACATCATAGTTGATGTCTCTTCCTTCAAGGATGCTACCAGAAAGGTTCCAACATCTAAAGAGCCAGACCAGCCATTTGCAAATAGTCATTTACCATCAGACTGAGGAATTGATGAGAGTGCGAAAATGTTTGTTGGCTCACTTGTGCTTGGAGCCTGGAGGCTTGATCTTACTCGGAAACTCTGACTTTGGGGACAACAGTGTAACTCCTACAATAGGAGCTGGGAGGGTAGGAGTGACCTCAGGAAGCTCACTCCAAGAACAGAGCTCCAGCCCCTGGGAAATTGATCGCTCTCTTCCCAATTGCAAAATTTGGGGCAGGCATCAAAAGGACCCAGTGAGGTCCTTCAGTAGCCCACTGATTGATTAATACCTTTGCAATTGAGGCTCGTCAGTGCTGCTTCAAATTCACAAAAGAAAGGAGCTTATAATAGTAAGATGAACGTTAATACAATTCTGACAGAATATGTGGAGCCCAACCTCCATCTGAGTCTACCTCTGTAGGCAAACCCAGCACAAGGGAAGCTCGTGTGTAGAATGGCTGGGGAGGGGTGGAGAGTGAGAAATGCTGGAGCTCCACCTTGAGCCCAGGTCAGACTGTATCAGACTGTTGAGTCTTTTAAAATTAAAAAAAAACAACAACATCATTTTCAAGTGCTTGTAGCAGAGGCCCAGCGCCTAAGTTTCAGTTAACAAAGGTCCTTCCCTCTGAACGCATGGCGATGGCACACACTGGTAAACTGAAGGTCCTGGGGCGGGACAGCTTCTCCAGGCTCCAAAGAGCGTCTTTCTGAATAGGCTTCTAAGCTACCCCAGGCAGGCAGCAGAGAGGCGGCCAACCAGATGCAGAGCTGGACGTTAAGACCCAACCTTGGGTTAAAAGAATCACTTCCTCCTTTAGTCTCTACTGGAAGAATTTTATAACACCAGATTTTGGCAGCAGCAGTTGAAGGAAAAAGGCCTGAAGTACACCACAGACTTTATACGTTTCTTTTATTTGTCCAGCTTGTTCTGGCTCAATTATAGACGCTGGAAGGATGGAGGCAGTTTCATTGCCCAGTGCACTGGTAATAGAAAGTGTCCTCCTGTTGGGGCCCTGCTGTGCTACATCAAGGTCCCACCAAGGAAGGAGGAAGAGGAGCAAAGAGCATGGAGTCCCTTCAAGAGGTTATTTGCCAAGGTTACAGGAAGAAATATAAAATACTGTTCTTTGCAGCAGCAAGAGATTCTTTCGGCCTTTAGTCCTTTATGTTGTAAAGCCAGCTTTGCTTGACTCTAAAGGTCCACCTTGCTGGTTGGTCTGCCAAGGGCTGGAGGGAAGCCAGACCCCTGGAATTGGTGGGTGGATGGAGAAGTAGTAGACTGTCAGGGCAGATTTGGTTACTGGACCAAGCCAGCTCCCAGCTGGTGGAAGGAGCAAGCCCCTGGTTAGGTACTAGAGGTACAAATGGTCAATGCACCCCAGGAGCATCACAAGGGGATAAAATTACCCAGGAATGATTGATAGGAAAGTGAAAATCTGGCCAGATTTGCCATTTCCTGCTGGTCAAAAGGGGAAGAAATAAAGTGGGGAGGTGGAATGGGTGCCACAGTGGCAGAGGGGGAGGGAGCCATGGGAGCCTATGGGGCTCCAGTGCTGAGCTGGCAGCTCTCACTGAGGAGAGTGGCAGTCAGTCAGTGGACAGGCTGAGCCTGTGATTGAAAAGGTCCTCTGACGACGGGTGTAAACACCAGCTCTGAGAGGACCCTGCTACAGGACCACATGAGGATGCATTGATTCTAGACACACTGGGGCTCAGAGCGGACCCCCTAGTGCTGCCTGAGGCCTAAGGACCCTGGGATCCGTAGGTGGGAGTGGATGCCGCCATTTTCACTTTTGGCGGTTTTCCATTTAAATTTGTATTTGTCTTTAAGTGTCTTTTATACCTTTTATTCTTCTTGCAAAAAAGTTCACTCAAAAAAAAAAAAAACACCCAGTATTTTTCTTTCCAGTTTCTTTCAGGTGTTTGTTTCATTTTCTTTCAAGTATCTTTTTTTCCTTTTTCTTCTTCTGTTTCTCCTGAACAAGATGAAAAGAAAAGAAACAAAACAAAAAACCTCCCTCAAATCCCAAAATTAGACACAGGGAAACTCTGGCATTGAGGACAAACCCTTTACACTTGACAATGGCAGAAGTGTGCTGTGTACACCCAGCACACGGCAGTGGCTGCATTACCATGAGCACGGACTTCCTCTTCCAGCCACACTGCTCCACTTCCAACAGGCTTGCCCCCTGCAGCCATCCCATGGCAAAAGGGCCACGACACGGCTGGACAACCACCAGGCGAGGAGCAACGTCAGTAAGTGGATGGTCCACACTGCTGTGGCGGGTGGGAGATGGGCTGAGACGAAGCCTGTATAGGTATGGACCAGTACTGCAGTTCCATGTCATAAGCTGCCAGGATCCAGAGGGGCTTCTGTCCCATGCAGTGCATCTTCGTGACCTAGGCCTGAAAGTCACAGGGTAGCACAACGAGGGAGGGCTCAAGCACCTGGAAAAACCGTACCTCTGGCGAGCTTACATCTCACCCCACCTTCTGGTCCACTGCCTCTCCTGAGAGGGATTGTTCCTGGATGGAAGCGCCTGTGTCTGTACCAGATCCCAGCCCCACCACATCTCACCCTCTGCCTTAAATGGTGAGGAGAGGGATGCAACCCACACCAACCCCTCCCTCATGACATGCCATGGGGGCCATAAATGTCCAACGGTCCGTCTCTGGGTCATACATCTCCACTGAGCTGAGGTTCGACTGTCCATCATAACCCCCTACAGCATAGAGGCGCCCGCAGCTGGCCACAAGGGAGACCCGACTCCGACGTGTGTGCATGGGGACGATCAGGCACCACTGGTCTGCCACTGAGCTGTACATCTCGGCAATGCTGAGGAAGCCAGAGCCATCGTAGCCCCCACAGACGAACATCTTGCTTCCCAGGGAGGCAGCGCCGTGCCGGCAGCGCTTGTTGAGCATGCCTGCTGCTGGGTGCCAGGTGGCTGTGTGGTGGTTGTAATGTTCCACCTGCAGCAAGGAGAGAGGCACAGGGACAGGACAATCAGAGTCAATGCTTGGTCCATGGGGTGGCTTTGTAGAGCCCAGTGGCCCACGTGGTGTTAGATTCCAGTGGATGGGGGCTGGGGATGAGGAGCTCTGTCAACTGTACACCTGCTCTTGGGATTACAGGGACAAGTGAGAGATCCCTTAATCGGACCCTTTCTGTTTACATCTAAAGTGATTTGTCCAAGGATGCACTGCCATGTAGTAACAGAGCCAGCACTTCTGAAATCTGTCCAAGGGACATTCCATCATAGTTCTGGCTGACTTGACAGAACCACCGCTCTATGGCTGTTGAGCTATTTTAAGAAAAAAAAGGCAACCTCAAGCAAATCATCAGAAGAACCCAAGTCTTTGTAAACTTGCACTCTGTGTTTGAGATCATTCTGGCCACGGATTTTATGAGGTATCATCAGCCCACGATGGACAGTAGCTCGGCAGTGGCACAGCTATGCTCTACCCCTCCTTTAGGTACTGCGTGCACTGGCACCCTTTCTCTGGAACTTAATGTCAGAGTGTACTGTGGATGACCAGAAACCTCACTAGATGATGCTTAGCCCAGCAATGGCAAGGCTGACGTTTGCTCAAACAATTCTCTTTCAAAATAATTCTGAAGATAGAAGGAGTTAGCCCAAGAGGAGCCCAGACTCACACTGCTGAAGATCTGCAAGCCGTCGTGGCCTCCCGACACGTATATCCTGCCCTCAAAGACTGTAACCCCAGCAGCACTGCGATTCGAGCTCATTGGGGTGACCACTGTCCACCTTCAGGAGAGAGCCAAAACAGGAGAGGAGGAATGAGATCCAGTGTTTCCATCCTCCCACGATTCTATAGTAGGATTTGGGTGAACTGTGCTGTGTCCCCTCATGCCCTGGACAGTCTCTTCCACTCTCATCACTTCCCTCACTACCTCTGCTAATCGCTCTCTTGGTCTGCTGCCTCTCGCTCAACCTTCAGGCCCACAGATAGTTTTCTTCTTCTTCTTCTTCTTTTTTTTTTTTTCTGTGATTTGAGTGAAAATTTACAGAGCAAATTCACTTTCCATACAGCACTTCACATACACTTTGTCTCATGACATTGACTACAATTCACCACACTGCAACAGATCCCCTCCCACTTCCTCCCGACAGTCACCTCTTCCCTGTGTCCATCCCTCCATGCACTCCTGCCCCCTGAGCTGTCTCCCTGTGCATAAACAGCCCTTCTATTCTCCCATGATTGTTCTCTCCAAGGAGTGTATCTACCTCAGGTAAATGTTCACCTCATATGCCTGTCTTCTGTCTGGCTAGAAGCCACAGGTGTGGGTTCAATTCCAGACCTGAAGGGCAGTTAGTCTTAGTGGTTCCACCAGGCTCTATCGGACCAGCAGACCCAGTCCCCCTGCTTTTTTTTTTCCAAAATGATTTTGAGTTTTGTTCCACATTGCTCTCCCTCTCTATCCAAGATCTCCTACGTAGATCCCCCTCCGAGTGGTTGACAGTGGTAGCCGGGCACCATCTACGTCTTCTGGTCTCATAGTTGTATATGCTGCGGATCTCATGGTGTACCAGGTGCTAGAATTATCTTTCCATGAATCTTTGGTTTTCTTCATTCTTTTTTGCTCTGGACGAGGAGAGACCCATCGTTGCATGTAGATGGCTGCTTGCAAGCTTTTAAGATCCCAGTTGCTACTCGCCAAAATAGGAGGTGGAACAACGTTTTGTGTAGTATGTTACGCCAATTGAGCTTGATGTCCCCTGTGACTATGGTCCCGAGCCCACGGGTTCAACTATTCAGTTCATAGCTAGTCTTCTTGGCTCACTGCCACAGGCACTCAAAACCAGCATGTTCCAAACAAGGCCTTGCTCTCCAAAAGATCTGTTCGTTCTCTGCACTCTCTGGTCTTGTTAACGGGACTATCTTGTTATCTCACTGCTGTAATAATAAAACTCAGTGTTTTCTTTGGCTTCTTTTCTCTTAGCCTCAACATTCTTGTGGTCACTAAGTCCTGACTGGTTTGACTCCTAGTCATAGCTTGTGCCTAGCCCCACTGCTACTGCCCTAGCTCTAGCCTGTCACCTGGACCACTGTATCAGTTCCTTAAAGGTGGTTTATCTTTCAAAGCACTCCCATCCCAACCCTGAACAGCCAGAGGCATCACTCTCAAATAAAATCCCATACCACACATCCCTCCTGGGCTCCTTCTCACCTGGTCGGCACCTACTTTCCAGCTTCATCCTGGTCACACGCCACCTGCCCCTGCCCTATCTCCCTTCCATGCCCAGTGCTCCTGCCCTCTAGATGACTACTGTCCTCAATCACAGTGAGCACTTTCTGATCTCTGAGCTGCTCTTCTTGCTGTCTCCTGCCTACAATGCATGGCTCCCACTGTCCATCCATCTTCTCAGAAGACGCCTGTTCACAATGCCTCTCCTCCCAACCCCAAGGAAGAGGAAGGTACTTCCCACTCTGCGCCTAGTCGCTCTGGACATAGGCCTCCAGGGTAAGATGATTATGAGGCAGCTGTGGCCCTACTCTATCAGGCACTATGGACAGACCTCAGATATCCCACTTGCTGTCTGAGAGTGCACTGGCTAAGTGCATGGAATGATACTGGCTTAAAAGCACCCTCAGGAATGCATTCAACTATTTTGCTTCTATTTTGTTGTATAATATCAGAAGATTCAGAGTATGAAAATGAAAAACTGTGGCTACTCTTACCAGTGTTTCCCACAAAATACTAATTCCATAAGAGAATAATAGATATATAAAACTCTGGTGAAACAGGTTTCTTCACTGCAGAATTTTCCAGAGCCTTTAAAAGGTTAATATGTATAATGGAAGAACAAGGTCTCTGGTGGTATAGCCTTCATTTTCCGAGCTTACTTGAACATACTAACTTTTTTTCTCCAAATCATATCCTACCCACTGTGGATAATGCTGCCCAACTATTTCTTAGCTCCTCTCATCTGTATTTACACTGAAATGGGCTGATTTAGCTAAGAGACCTTTAAAATAAGTATTTACAAGCATATTCTATTTGTTTTGAAAATTTATTCAATCAGTTATGTAATGAACAATTATTAAATACCTTTCACATGCAAAGTAGTCTAGGGGATAAAAAGGTAAGACATTCTGTACCCTTGAGAAGCATAAATAAAGAAGAGCAGTTCTAACTTTTCATGCTCTCTGTTTAAGAAGTCCCACTCGCCCCAGGGGAGCTACAGTCCTTACTTGTCTGTCTCAGGGGAATAGGTCTCCACAGAGTTGAGGGAGGAGTTGCCATCGTAGCCCCCACAAACGTAGATCTGCCCATCCAGCACGACTGTCCCCATGGCACTGCAACAGACAGAGTTGTCAACCCAGATGGGCCTCAGACCCCCTGGAAATAAACCTAACCATCAACTGCCTCTTTCCAGAAAAGAACTAAATACCAGGTATGTGACCAAGGAAAGGTGGAAAATAGAGGTGACAGAAGCTTCCCTGTGATTCCTTTTATCCCCCAAGCCTCATTCCTGGGCCCTCCCCCTTCACTTCACCTCTCCTTTCAGATCTTGATTTGTCTAAAATGCTCACCTTCCACCTCACTGTGCTGAGGTTCTAATTTACCCTCAAGGCCCTGGTCAAACTCCTCTCCCTTCTCCTCAAAAAACTGTCCTGATCGCTCAGCAAGAATTACTCCCTTCTGACCCCACACTACCAGAGTGGCTTCTTCCTTTACTACACCAGTTATCACAGTTGTTCATTTAACTATGAATTTGCATTAGGCACTCGCAAGGTGCACCATCCTAGGCACAGGTTTGGAGCGGTGAGCAAGCCAATGTCCCTGCCAACAAGGTGCTTACATTCTGGCACCACAGGGTATCGGAGTGTGTCTGCCACCTTTTAAGAGGTGAGGGCCTCCTGAAGGCAGGAAATGCTCTTCATCTGTGAACCCTGGCAGTGCTTAGTGTGGTGTTTTATACACAATAGGCTGTTGCATTACCTCCTGATTTAACCACTCAATTCATTATAAAGTCTGACAGATGTCTTTTCATTACAGACATGGCTCTACATGGTCCCTAATTTGTCTTAGCAAGTGATGCTACAATTCCTGGGTGTTGAGCACTTACTACATGTATCAGGTGCTCTACACCTGCCATTTTCAACCTGCCGTACACCCTGTAAGGAAGGAAGTATGCCCAGCACCACTGTACAGATGAGCAGCTGCAGCTCAGGGAGGCTGGGCTCTCTCCTGAGAGAAGGGTGCTCAAAGAGGCCTGACTCCAATTTAATGCAGACAGCCTGACTCCCACACTGTTCACCATGCCAGGCTCTCCTAGTATCCCGGGGTCTGGGGTAATCAGGCACTCTTCCATTCTATGCAATACCTCACAAGAAGTTAAAAATGAACCCCAAGCTGCCTGACTCACTGTGTTCAAACTTGATCCTGGAGAAGATTCAAAATGAATATGGGTGTGGAACAAACTGGAAAAATAAAATATCAGGCTAACTGCCTCCTTTCAAGTGTACATGCAGTCTTCAACCTACATCTACAATCAGCTCATCTGATCATTACAATGTCTCTTTGAGGGGCGTGGTAATAGACCTCCTGAACTACCTGGAAAGTGGGAGCGGGGCCTGTGTTAGGGAAGGACTGTGGGATGATCACAAATTCACTATTCTTCTAGAAAAAGATACAAGACAAACATATAAAAATTAAATAATGATACAGGATTTTCAACAGCATTATGAGAGATAATTAAGAGGTGCCACAAAAGTATGTTAACACTATCAAGTAAGTGGTTAAAGACAAGTGCGAAGAGATAAAAGGGACATTGATCAGTGAGGGGTGGAACAGTCCAGTGTGACAGCTTCTCAGAGGTGGTCTGGGAGACTGAAGGAGAGGGGAAGGAAAGAGACCGTAGAAGACATTTGGTCTTCCAAAGAGACATTTGGTTGTCACCAAATGTCAGGATGGACAATTGTGTGGGTTGTCAGGAGAGAAGTGACCAAGAACATTCTGGGGTAGCCTATAATTAAAGAGGATGAAATGGAGCTGGGCCCATGCTACTAATAACAGGGCATTAACCATAGTGTTGGGAAGGAATATCCAGAGGATGCTTTTCCCAGACAACACTCCAAAACACAGTGACATCAAAGCAAGGAAGTGGCCCAGAACAGACAAAGAAGAACTGACTGCAGTCAAAGAAAGCAAGCCACTCAGAGTTGAGGATATGGAGCAATGCCACCAAAATTGAATGCAACAAAAAGCTGCAAAGTAGCCAAGAAGCAGGAAGAAGGAAGCACCAAGGTAGGGGAGGCGGCAGGAAAGAACTGTGAGAGCATTAGTGCTTGGGTTTGGTAGAAGCAGATTCCGTATCTATATCTATATATGTATAATTTTTTTTTTCTTCTAGAACAGAACTCACTTTGTGAATCTGGTTTTACTGGTATAATGGCAGATTCTCCCCAGCCCATGACCACATACTAACATTGCTGAATATGGAAAATGTGTATCATGGTCATTACACTTTCATGTGGCAAAGGACTTTTCTTTCTCACCACCATGAATAGTCGCTTGATCTTAAAAATAGAGAACCCAAAACAAGGTCAGAAAAAGTCTGTGAGGTAAGTGCTGAATCACAGAATTACAAAGCAGAAGGGTCCTTAGAGAGCCTCTGGTCTGGTGGTTTTCAACCCTTCACCCTTTTAAATTCACAAAACTATTTTTTCTCCAAAGTTGAGCATACATCACGGAAACTTAACATACAAAAGAGATAAAAGCAGAGCTTCTGGTTAAGTGGGCGGGGGAGCCTTGGAAGGCCTTGCTCCTGTCAGTCCTCTGAAGAACGTGCCATTTAAAGCCTCTGATCTGGTGCAGCCCTGCTGAGAGCAGGAGAATGGAAGAAATTGTCACTTAAACTGCTTGAGCCCTCCAAACCTCATACTGTCCAAGCATGAAATTACTCAACTACACGTCTTATGTAAGGAAAGATGCCGCCTGTCACTTTAGCACTCAGAAGGCTACATGGAGGTACTATTTGGATACCCTCTCATCCCACTTCTTTTACAGGATCTGTGAGTAGACAATGGCTGGAGATAACAAATAGACGACACGTATTAAGTGATGCATGAACTCAGTCTGCCTTGCAAGTACCTATGTGTCCCAGGCCCAGAAGTATCAGTGGTGACCCTGCAGTAAAGAACAATGCTTTGTCTCATAAAATCCCCAAGTAGTGAAGACAATGTGTGGCACCGGCCTGGGGAGGGGGGGGACGGGCAAGAGTATTAAAACAATCTTGGCTTTCCATTTATCTCTAATAAAGTTAAATCCTCCTTATTCTTCATGTTTCAACTTTAATCCCACGTCTTTTCTGAAATCTTCTCAATGTTCTAGTCCTATTTCCCTCCTCAAATCTTCCATAATACATATTTTCAATTCTATTTGGCACTGACACAACAATATAACTTTCATGTCTAATCTCCCCAAATTCCTCAGAGGACAAGGTAAGTATTTTTCTTTTAGGCAGATGGGGGCTCGCTCCCAGGGGGTGCCGGCAGTGGCTGGCCTGGTTGCAGGAAATTCCTAGGCCAAAGCTCGGATTTTACTTTCTTATGTATCCCTGCACATCTAACACGGCACTCCTCAGAGGCTCACTGTGCCTGTTTGCGTTGCGCAAATGGCTTCCAGAATACCTTCTCTTGCTATTCATGCTCCCCACTCTGGTCCAGGTATCTGTCTCTGGGTTGTAGACCTCCACGGTGCTCAGCCGTAGCTGGCCGTCGTATCCACCGATGGCGTAGAGAAGCCCATTCACCACAGCCACACCCACGCGGCTACGGGCTGTTGTCATGGGATGGCACTTCTCCCAGCGATTGGCGATGGGGTCGAACACTTCCACCACATTCAGGGAATCACCTGCATAAAAATTTGCTACTCAAATTAAAACACGTGAGGTACATGTTTGGATCACTTACTGGGCATTGATATTTGGAAGACTGAACTTGATTCTATCAGTTCTTCCTATAAATCAGTCAAACTGAAAGGACTCATTAAGAAATTGGTCAGCACAACATGACCAAGGGCAAAGGAAGACACTGGGAGGTGCACAAGAGTAAGACGACAAAGGTAAATACTATTACACATATAATCCGGCAATAGTAATAACAAACTATGCCTATGGGTAGATACTTAGGTAGACGTGCAAGCTGATCAGATGTGGGGAGGCAAGTGGGAGCACATTCATGAGTATATATATAGATTTGGCAGAGGAGATTTCTACATATGTATTTGTGCTGCAAATAAATACATTGAAAAGATATTGTAGAGCATACAAAACAAACAAAAAAAAACCAAATAAATGCACTGCTGTCAAGTCGGATTTGACTCACAGCGACCACTCCTCAGGTTTCTGAGATGGTATCACTACGGAAGGAGATTGCCCAACCTTCCTTCTGAGGAGTGGCTGATGAGTTTGAACCTGGTTAGCAGTCTAATGCCTGAGGCACTACGCCACCAGAGCTCCTTGTAGAGCATACAGGGCATAAAATTCTGATAAATTCTTAGTTATACCCAAACATCTTGAGGGAATAAGTAATTTTCTTAGGGACTTAAGGCCACAGTATTGGAAGACATCTAGGTCAACAGGCATAACACAGTCCACAAAGACAATGTTCTATATCTTACTTTGGTGAATAATGAACAGGGTCTTAAAAGCTTGTTAGTAGCCATTTAAGATGTAACTATTAGTATCTCCTCATCTGGAACAAAGAAGAATGAAGAAAATAAAAAACTCAAGGAAACAATCAGTCCAAAGGACTAACTGGACCATGTGAACCACAGCCTCCATGACCCAGAGATCAAAGAACTAGATGGTTCCTGGCTACTACTACCAAGTATTCCAACCAGGATCACAACAGAAGGTCCTGGACAGAGAAGGGGGAAAAAGTGTAGAGCAAAATTCAAAATCACAAAGAAATCAGATTTATTCGTCTGATAGAGACTTATGGAACCCCCTTAAACACCCTTCAAGCCTGGAACTGAACCCACCTCCAGGATCAACTTTCAGCCCAACAACAGTAGGCCTATAAACACCAAGGAGGGAATGTACTTCTCAGAACAATCAACCAACCATACGAGACAAAAAGGGCAGGATTTGCTCCAAAACAAAGCTCTGAAGGCAGGAAGGGGCAGGAAAGAAGGACAAGGGAAATAGGGAATCTAGCGAGGAAGTCAGAAAAGGCTGCTACATTGAGGGGATTGCAACCAATGTCACAAAACAGTATGTGTATAAATTATTGAATGGAAAGGTACTTTGCTCTGTAAACTTTCAAACTACAATGAAAAGGAAAAATAACAAAAGAAATTTCAGCCATGATAATCCCAAATCCAATCCTTCAAGGAAAATCAGAATCAGACAGGGTACATAACTTCATAGAAAGGGCAGTTCTCAGGAACAATCAAGCACTCTACCTTAGAGCCCAAGATGAATGTAAATCAATATACTACTTCCCCCCATGCAGGAAGAACGCCCAGTGGGAAGTGCACAGGCTCCAATGCCAACTCTCAATTACTGGCAGGTGACCCAGGGCCCTTGATCCTGTTCTTGAATGTGAAATGTGGAGATAATTAATCTCTATTGCACAGCTGCTCTGAGGATTAAACGATATAGTAAGTAAAACATCTAGCATGGGTCTGATATATAAAACCTGATATATATTAAACCAAACCTGATGCAGTCGAATAGATTCTGACTCATGGTGATCCCATGAGTTATAGAGGAGAACTAAGCTCCATAGTGTTTGCTTGGCTCTAATCTTTGTGGAAGAAGATTGCCAAGTCTTTCTTCCATGGTGCTGTGGGGTGGGCTTGAACCATCAACCTTTAGGTTAGTAGATAAGTGCAATCTATTTGTGTCACCCAGGAGCCTGAAATATATTAAGTGCTTAATAAACAGTTGTGTCATACCAAGGGAAAATTATAGCTGCAGCCTCAACTTTTTCATCATTTTTTTTAAAGATCAAATGAGACAATTGTCCTCCTTGTTTTATTCTGCTTTGGGATATATATCAGGACCTGCCTCAACTTTGTTGTTGTTGTTGTTATAAGGCATCGAGTCAGCCCCAACTCATAGCGACCCCTCCTTGGGTTTCCAAGGCAGTATCACTACGGAAGTAGGATTGCCCAACCTTCCTTCCGAGGAGTGGCTGGTGGG